GAAAGTATAATTAACCCAAAAATTGTCAGAATACATTTGTATTTATTAATTTTGAGCATGCTTATTCGTTTTTTAAATTTTTGCTTATTATGGCATGTCACAGATTGTCAACAATCAATATGTAGCCTATTTGTGACAGGACTCTGAAAAATCTTTACTTTTCAGAACCCGTAATATCTGGAATAATTGTGCTTTGAGAGCAAAAGAAGTACTGTAACGCATCTCGAAACAACACTGTTGTCTAGCCCCCGAGCGAGCATTAGTTCTAAATTATGCCGCTACGGCGAACAGCGCAACTGGGGACCTATTCTGAGTTCTTCCGATAACTCAACGAGAGCGATACACGGGACATTCGATAAGTCCCCTTAGCGAAAGGCAGTTAACGAACCTTGCTACTTAGACAAATTGCTATGCTGTTCTCCACGTTAAGTGGGTTTCGCTACCGGTAGTTGTCGAGATGCTTCTGGGTTCCATGTTATTGATAACTGTTACGCTTTAACCAATCACAGTTTAGTTAACATAGTATTTTTGTCACGTGACTGCAACCCGCCATTTTATAATCGAAGCACGTGGTTTAGTATTGTCGTATACCAGAGCTAGTGAAATAGTTTTGTTTTAGAATGTCGAAGAAAGGCCAACGAAGCCGGCGAACTACAAGTCGCCAGTTCGAGATGCTCCTTAATTTTATAGAAGACAATCCTAAATTAATATCAGGGAAGTTAGATGCTTTCTTTACCGTAAAAGATCGCCAGAAATTCTGGCAAGAAATAGCAGACTGTCTGAATTCGGATGGAGTCGGCTCACAAAAGACCCAGAAAGATGGCGGAAAGTAACTGATAGCTTAGAATATAAATATATAAATATATGACTATCATTTTAATTTATACATATGCGAATGAAACCTATTTCAGAAATAATGTTTACGCTAATGTTTACTTTAAATTTTAACAAGAAAGCAATTACATTATTCATNACACCTATTTGTGGTACATTTATTTGTGGCAAAGATCTTATTTTCACTTTATCGAGTGCCTAGTAGGTAATGTGCGGATTACCTAGATACTCTGCACATTATCTAGGTAATTTGAGAAATGGAACAATTTTCACAACTTTAACGGATCACGCTAGTTAATCTGCAGATTAACGAGTTTCGAGCTTTAGCAGTAACATATACAACAATTAGTACAGCGGAAGTTCGTTAATTCGTCATCTACTGGACCAGAATGGCGCCGGATTACCGATTTTTTTTTTTGGTACTTTTTTAAAATTCCGTTTTTTTTCTATAAAGCATACACTTTGTTTTACATACGCAAGTACAGTAAGGATAATGTATCGTGTATAATGCACACCTGCCTAACAGGGTTTTGAATCGTGTATAATGCGTTATACAAAAAATATCCATCCAAATTGACGAATTATTAGCGTGCCGGATTGGCGAACTTATACTAGGAATATATGATATAATTTTTTCCAAATAAAATTTAAAATAATTTTGATTTTACAAGATACGAATAGTCTAGTCACGTGAATTTTAAATTCATCATCCTTCCAAGTTACAAAATGCGTTAAAAAAGTTGTTCTTACCACAAAGCATTTCGTTTAGTTTTGCTCTTTTTCCAAGGAATTAACCAAAAAGCAAGTAATGTAAATGAAAATGAAGATGAAAATTACTGTCTTCATGTTCACTCAGTTGTCAAGTACCCAACTTTTTTTAATTAATGACGAAAAAAAATGTAATCATATATAAAGTTCCACTGAATTTCTTTCATGAATTAAGGAAATTGATAAGCGAATAACGGATTTCCTCTCATTAATTTGATTTGCAGGAAATTTAAAAAATGTTGTTTTTATAGAAAATTTACAATACACGTCATAAAAACATTTTAAAATTTTCAGTTAATTTTGTTATTCCAATAAAAATTTAGATTCTGCTNTATAAAGTTCCACTGAATTTCTTTCATGAATTAAGGAAATTGATAAGCGAATAACGGATTTCCTCTCATTAATTTGATTTGCAGGAAATTTAAAAAATGTTGTTTTTATAGAAAATTTACAATACACGTCATAAAAACATTTTAAAATTTTCAGTTAATTTTGTTATTCCAATAAAAATTTAGATTCTGCTTTACTACAGAATCGCAATTTTCCTTAAGGTTAGTGTCATAAATTGAGAATGCGTTCTTGTTCTAATACAGATTTTCCTCTAAAAGTCTAATACAGTATCTACAATTCCACCATTAAAGTTAAATTCGGCTACACAAATCAATTAATTAAATTTCAATTTACAATGTAGCTATGTGTAATTTCAAGCTTAAAAGTATTTAATTAATCGTGTAACTTCCCGAAAGATAAATATTTTCCTGTAAATACAGTTAATTAATAAAAAAAAGTATTTAACCTGAAAGCTGTATTGATAGTCNAGCTTAGAATATAAATATATAAATATATGACTATCATTTTAATTTATACATATGCGAATGAAACCTATTTCAGAAATAATGTTTACGCTAATGTTTACTTTAAATTTTAACAAGAAAGCAATTACATTATTCATACAATATTCACAAATAGTAAGGTAATTATTTTTAAGCAAAACAACATAGTTTATTAACTCTCTCTCTAATTGCTCGTGAAGTAAAATCATTCTTACACCAAAAGACGCCGTGTTGTTTACACTTTCGTTATGTTCCTAACGGCAGCTCGAGAGTGATCGATAACAAAAACTTAGTTATCGCATGTGGCTATTGGGACCGAAAACGAAACGTGGAGCTCGGAATAGCATTTTCACAGTTGATTAAACGCGAATCACGTGGTTCCGATAGAAACTGGTTTTTATCGTTTTCGTGCTTAACGGTACTACTCAGAATAGGTCCCCTGGATTTGCGTCAGTTTTTCGACATTGACATTACTATTATTATTATTATATATTGTTCTATCGGGAACAAATATAGATAGGAACAATAGGGGTGATGGCCATACCACGCGACATTTTATTTATTATTAAATTACATCTTGAGATTCGGTCCTATCTGCCCTTACGTTCTAATGGGATGGAAGTGTGTTAAATATGTTGCTATTTAAAGTTGAAAAATACTGCATATAGTAAGGAATTATACCGCAATTATGTAGTACAGTGGTACCTCAGGTTACGAACGCCCCAGCATACGAAATTTTCAGGATACGACATGAAATTCGAACATATTTTTGCTCCACGATACGAACAAAAACTCACCATACGACGTTACATTAGTTCGCATTTTTCATTTGTTTTTCTTACTACAGTTATTTTTTTAA